AGGTGGCACCGGACACTCGGTTGTTGGATCTCTACCCTTTCCCTTTCACTTTCTCACGTTCGTTTTCTCTCTCCCTTTCCTCTCTTTCTCTCTAGCTTTTTGTCAAACAGATGGTCTCCCTGGGAACTGGTTTTCCCACCCCTTTTGATCACCTTGCCGAGGCCATTTCGAGCACTAACCGACTTCCCAGTCGGTTAGATCTGTTAGGGATAGACAGCTGGAGATATCTCAACTGTCAATTCTCTTTGAAACGTGCTAAAAGTAGGGGAAATAAGTCGGCAAAGGGGCGGGTTGAGCAGATTTTTCTCCCTTTTCCCAATCTGAAACTAAGTCGAGTAAGGGAGATGAAGACCCGAGTCAGGTCGGATCAGATCCGACCGACCCAACTGACCCGGATTGATTAAATTTGCAAATTAAACCCCCATTTGACCCATTTTTGCGATTTTAACCCCAAATTTAGGCTCCTTGACACATTTTACCCTAGATTATGGGTTTAATTTGAATTTTCATTTCAATTAGGCCAAAAATCCCCAAATTTGAATTCGGTTCAGTTGGGTTTTTGTTCAATTGAGTGTCCAAATGACCTAATTAGAAAAATTGAGGTCAGAATTGAATTATCCATGCTCAATTAACCCTAGGGAAGGTATGAGCTTTGATTGAAAATTTCAAATTGAATGAAATCCCCAATTTGGATCTTAAAATCCCTAAATTTTCAATTAATTTTGGGGCTTTTGATATTTTCATCAAATTGTGAAATTGGACTGACCAATGTGCAATTCAAGGTCCCAGAATCAACTGTTGTGAAGACACTATAACCCAAAAATGACTAGAAATGGCTTAATTGGATTTTTGGTTCAATTAGAATATGAAATTGCCCAAATTTAAGGAAAACATATCCCTAATTGAAATTTTGTAAAATTGACATTCCAGGGATAAAATTGGATTTAAAATAAGACTAATGACTATTTTTGTGGAATTTTTTAATTCCATTTGGTATTTTTCTTGATTTTCTTCCTAATTTTATTAAAAGAAATTAAGGAAAAATTAAATAAAAATTATTTTTTTATTTAGAAATAGGTTCCTAAGCATGGCCAAGGTTCTTAATCCTAATTTTGTGATTTTTATATAAATTTGAAAAAATGGACCAAAAAAATCAAGTATCAACAATGTAGGGAGATCAGCTTAAAATACAGATTCTATGCTCCTCCACCAACACCTCCTCCAACTTCTTGTACTACCCATTTCTATCAACTAAAGGAACTATATCGCATGGCCTACTATTCCTTAAACTATTCGATCTTGACCCTTGTCTATCCTTTACTAAATATATCTTGCTTTCACACACACTTGCACATCACTAATAAAAAACTATCGTGGATATAAAAACCACGTTTCCGCATAGTTAAATTTTTACCAGAGACGTCTTGTTTTCTCACCTTCCAAGTTCATAGAAATGGATTGAATGATTCAACGCCAATATGTCCAAGCGATGACGCAATTCATGACTTTGAGCGCTGGAGTAGAACATGAGTAAGAAAGGTCTCATCGCTCCATGTGGAATTAAAACTCTGCTTTCATGTCAAGCTAGAAGATTTTCTTGCCATGTACGAATACCAATATGCCGTAGGGACCGTGTTAATCTGTGAAATAAAACTCATAAATAAAATTGAAGAGAGTTACAGTAATACAGTAAGAGAGAGTTTAAGCTTCTCTTTCTCATATTAAACTTGATGAATATCGTAGCGAGAGAGAAAATTTTCCTTAGCAGCAAAAGCTGAAATGCCCAGCAAGGAGCCAGACTTGAAGTATAGTGGAATGGGGAAAAAGCCCACGATGAGAGTGGCAAGCAGAGCGATAATTACTATAAAAATAATTAAATGTTAAATCGCACATTAATCTATAATGATTGTGGATAAGGATTAGGAGAAAGAGAGATTATGTTGGATCAACCTCAAGAAAAAAGCAGAACATTTCTCTAGGAAATTATAAAATCTGCTAGAAACTTGGCTAATTTAGTAGTTTAATACCACGAGGGTGATTGGAAATGTAGGAACTGGGACTGCAATAACATTAAAAAAAATTAAACAGTTCAAGTATTCGGATCGAACAAAGCGAAATTTCAAGAGCATAGATTAATGGAAGACGAGGAAACACCTAGAATGATCAGATGCTCAAAAACTATCAAGAAACCTCTTGAAAAGCGTACAGATCAGCTAGGGGGGAGGGACGGAGAGTTTAGGAACCCATAGATGATCTCTATGCTTTCGAAAGAGCCAAAACTGCAGAAGAACACCAACTCGAGAGTGTTGAGAGCGTTTCTTGGATCGAAGAACTTGCGTGATTCCTTTTGGAGTTTTGTTTGTTGCTATTGTAACGAAACATTTCAGCCGGTAATAACGGTGCTCGTGCGATCACTAACCTGAAAGTCCGAAATTACCTCTTAGTTTTATTCACATTTTATTTCACTTAGCTTGAATATATTTCATCTAATTATATGCTATACATTTTGCTCTTAAAAGGTCTTCTTTACTGTATGTTCCGTTACATTATGTAAACTACAGAAACTGCGTGCCATATGCATCTTACAATAGAGTCTAAACAGTTCTTGTTTTTGCAGGTTAATGTAGTTTGTAGCAAGGTCTGATCTTTTTTCTATTTTCGCTTAAGAGAACATGTTGAATATTTCGGGAGACAACACCAAATTCAAGTTTTTGACTTTATATTAGTATAGATAGATAAATAGATAATGTTTAGGACTTCAATAAATCATTTTTCAAGCATTAAAATTTAAGAATTCAAATTCCACAAAGCTTGCAAAAACTATTTCCTCGTCATAAGAATTCCTGTTTAACTCAAACAAAAAAAAAAATTTATACACACACACACACTTTCAGTCACATATAATGAGTGTATTTATCTGAAATAGAAACAAGCAAACAAGCTTTTCATAAAAAAAAATTTGAGAAATAAAATTTTTCATTTACTCATATTTAATATTATGATTTTTATTCAATTAATTTTTCACGTTCATTTTAAATATTATTATCAACTGATTTTTTCAAATTAATTGTTATCTACTTCATGTACTTCTATTTGATATTGTTTATTCATGTTCACGGTAGTATATTGACTTTCATTTTATCAAATCCGGACATATAATAACATATAAACATATCGAGTTAGGCTTCCTTTTGACTATATTTTTACAAGATAAAATAAAATAAGATAAGATTCGGGTACATTTCGATGAATGCTTTTAGTAAAAGAATAAGAAAAGAAATGCCAAAATTGAAAAAAAGCGATGGCGCGCTTAGTTTCACTGAGAACAATAACATCAAGTTGCTGAAGAGTGAAGAACAATCCTCTCACTCATAAATCACATGTTTTATCGCCAAATTAACTGGGAAAATTGTTCAAACAATCTTATATATGTTGTATGGCGGTCAATTCAATCATAAATCATTCAATTGTACCAATTTAATACTAAATTTTTTGACGATTTACCAACGTAATCTTTCTGACTAATTTTGATCAGAAATAACTGACGTAAACGATTTTTTAAAAAATTTCTGAATTTATTTTTATTTTTTTCCTTCAAGGGCCACCCTCAGCCAAATTTGGTGAGGGTGAGGGCTAGCGAGGGCTTGAGCGAGGGCAAAGACCTTTGCCAGCGGCTGTTGAGGGCTTACACGCCCTCGCCCCAAAAGAAAAGAAAAGATATGAAAAATATTTAAAAAAATCAGAAATTTTTCTTAAAAAATTACAATAATTGTTAACGTCAATGTCGGCTGTGCCACGTAAAATGACTGGCGTTCACATTTGTGATTTCCAACCAAAATTGGCTGGAATGATTGTATTGGCAAATTAAAAAAAAAAATTGGACTAAATTGAAACAATTGAAAAGGTAATGACCGAATTGGCATCCATACAATAGGTTTGGGATTTATATGGTAATTTTCCCGAATTCACCCAATTCACTCTCGAGAGCTAACCATGAGCCCATCTGCAAAGCTTCCCCACGATGTTGTCGTCGAAATCCTGAAGCAATTGCCAGTGAAATCGCTACTGACGTTCGTGTGCATGTGCCGATCATGGCTTTCCATGATTTACGACCATCGTTTCGTGGCCCTGCACTTGGATCGATCCTCTTCCGACGCCGCCAATTGGTACATTGGTTACATGAAAGGTTTATTGCAATTTAAGGTGAAATTTTGCTCCTTTTTCCAATTCAAGCATGTTACGAACTCAGTGATCCGGAAAGGAAATAAAATGCATATGATTACCCAGTTGTCTACCATTCTTATCTTGAGGAAACTTGATAATGACCTGTCAATTTTGAAAATGAATATCTGAAGTGGAATCAATAATGTAATTCATAATAGCTAACAGAATCACACAATCATCAATGACAAGTTTAGTACATTCAAATTGGGTGAAAATGTTAGTCCTAGATATCTTTCCAAATTAGCACGAACATTACTTGACAACCTGCCTATCTAGATTTGGGGAACTTAATCAATCCAAATGGCAGAAGTTAATATTAATACGACAATATGGCGGTCGTAATTGACAGGGGTCCATTTGCCGTCGGGGGGACGCAGGGCTAATGTAGATCGCTGCCTTGGCTCTCGTGGTTGAAGATTATGCGAATCACCACTGTGATCATTTCGGAAATGGCCATCGGAGGTCGCTGTGTGGCCGTCGAGGGGGCCTCAAATGGGGTCGAGATACAAACGGATGAATAGATTAGCTTTCCCAAAATTCTAACATCAGTACATTCTCTTATGACATTAAGATATCTTTCTCTTTACCAATATATAACAAGTCCAGGCTTACAAAACTGAACTAGATGGACAACACAAAGAGTCAGAATGATGAGCAACCTTTAATCCTCTTCCTGGAGATCAGAACATTCAGATCCCATAAAATTACTCTTAATCTGATCAGAATCAACCTCGGTTTCAAATCTTTCTGCCTTAATCCACCTTGCTCCATTGACGATGTGCCTGAAGAAGAACCTCCCTCATGACGTAGTCCTCGAAATTCTTAAGAGATTGCCAGTGAAGCCTCTCATGAGATTCAAATGCGTCTCCAAATCATGGCGTTGCATGATCGAAGATCCGGACTTCATGGCCATGCACTTGAAGCAGTCCGTTCTTGATGTCGCGAACTGGTATGTTCTTCTCATGGATTGGTACTTTTCTCTGATCAGATGAGCTCCTTGTATCCAGATAAGTCTCTTACTGCAGCTTCTCAGTCAGAAATTGAAATTTCATTCATTAACCCTATGGGAAATTATAGTGTTGTGGGTTCGTGCGATGGTTTGATATGTATTGCTGATGCTAATGCTAAAGATCGCAGTCACACAATATTTTTTTGGAATTTATTCACAGAAAGTACAAGGTGGTTCTGAGTTCGCCTCCGGATTTTGTCGACATGTACTCTGCTCGTATGGTTCTAGGATTTGGATACAACGACAGGACTAATGACTGCAAGGTTGTTAGAATTACTTATTTTCCTGATAAGTATGGAGGATACTCGGGCAGATTAGAACCTGAAGTTGATGTTTATAGCCTCAGTACTGATATGTGGCGAACGGTCGAATTCGATGTTGGATGCGAGCTGAGTGACCGCTTGACGGTTTGTTTCAATGGAAATTTGCATTGGATCTCAACCGATGTCGATGAAGACCATTGCTGGTGTTATGGATCGATAATCACATTTGGCATAGTGGATGAGATCTTCGACAAAATGTCACTGCCAAATAGCTGTTTTGTTGGAGTCACGTACAACTGTGCTTATCTGGCAGTGTCGAACAGCTCCCTAGTGCTGCTAATTAATCAAGTGGATCCGAGAAATCAATCGAATGATATGTGTTACATTTGGGTTATGACGGAATATGGCGTACCTAAGTCCTGGACTAAGCTGCACACCTTATATCTTGATGAAGGAGTGTCTAGATTTCACGGCTTCACAAGGAGAGGCGAGCTTCTTATGGAGACATGGCAACATGAGTTGATTTCGTGGAATCTGAGTGTGGGGATGACCTGATTCCTTTGGAAATTGGGGGCATTTGATTTAGTGACTCTGGTGGAGAGTCTGGCTTCCCCATAAAGACAGAATTAGTTGTTGTGTTGCTATTGTAGGCAAGAGTACGAGATGTCTCAGTCTAATTCATACCAATTAATAAAGAAGGATAACAACCCAATTACTCTTATTAAGGGCGCGAATGACAACATTTCTCTTTTTCTGCCCTATTTCTGGCTAGAAATTAAAAAATCAATTTCTCTTTCCCGGACGAGTTTCTGAGCAAAAAGTAGTGTTTGATAACGACACAAAATTTTTGTTCTCGGAATAGAAATTCGTTTGATAATGACGCAAAATTTCTATTCCCGTCGGCAGGTGAGCGGTGGCGGCGGACGGCCGGTCAGCAGCGGTGGTGACGGGCAACGACAGATGGCCGGCGAGCGGCGGTGGCGACGGGCGACGACGGATGGCCGGCAAGCGGTGGTGGCCACGAGCGATGGCGGATGGCCGGCGTGCGGCGAGCGAGCAGCGATGGAGGGTAGTGAGCGGTAGAGGACGGCCAGCGAAAGGCGGCGGGAGCGGATGGCCGGCCGGCGAAAGGCAATGGACGGCCGGCGAGCGGCGGTGGCGACGGGTGACAATGGATGGCCGGCGAGCGGCGGGCGATGGTGTGGGGTCGGCGAGCGGCGGCGGATGGCCAACTAGCGGCAGGTGGCGGTAGACGGCTGGCGAAAGACGACGGCGGTGGACGGTCGGCTGGCGAGCAGCGGCGGGTGGCGGCGATGGGCGGCAAGGGAGAGCAATAAAATAGAGTTGTTATTTCTCTTTCTGTTCCAAAAATAGAAAAGTAAAAAATTTTAAGTTCTCATTTCTGTTCTAAATATATTTCTGGGCCAAAATTTGTCTCAGAAATAAAAAAATGAAATTATTTTACCAAACGGATTTATGTTCCAAACATGTTCTCGAGAACAAAAAAAATAGAAAAACAGGAAAATAGAATGATTATTGTTCGCGTCCTAACTTGTGATTTCTGCTTCGAGAAAGGTCATACTCAAAATTGTTTGAGTCTGTACTCTTAAGAATGTGCTCGGAATGCCAGCATAACAAGGTGCATCGATAATGCTGACAACCGTAGCATTTTCTTTGAATGTTTATGTAATACTTAAAACATGCATTTTGCTTTGATTCAGCTCTATTAAGCATCATAATTCATGCTTTCTTTAGTGGCTTTCTACACAACCAATTGACCCATTTCCGATCGTATTGACTGTCATATACTAGTTTTTAGGGTCATATGTAGAAAGATATAAACCAATCGTTTATTGCTGAAGAAAATAATTCTTGAAAACTAAATATTCTACTGCAGATTTCTCCTCCATTGTTCCTGCAAGCACGAAAGCCTCATGTGTGATTATTCTGATCGGGAAAGAAGACATTACAAGCATCATAACTTATATACGGTACTCACTTTAGCATGAAAACTTTTGAGCAATCACTCAAGTGCATCTTGAGTAAATAAACGGTCACTTTGGTGACATCACCTATTTATGTTGCTGGCAAATTTTAACGTGGCATTAATTACTATAAATCAACTGATGTGACTTGCTGGAAAATCCAATAAGCAAAAATCATAAGAAACGGCGTCGTTTTGACCTATGGGATACAAAAAATTAGTGCCAAATTGAAAATTTACGGTTTGTTGTACGTCCTCGATTTTGCAGACTAAAACTCTTCTTTATGGCCAAAGGCCAAAGCAAAGAGCCCTGAACTCTGCTTCTCCACAAGGTATTCTCACGCCCGTTTCATGGTGACATCCGAATTGCTCCTCAACTTGTTAGAGTAGGCTCTGAAAGCCGGGTCAAGCCAAGAAATTGATGGGAACAACGTACCTGCTTGTGTGTTCACAATTTGCTTGGTCACTGCAGTTTGAGAAGGCTTGCTTGATTTTCTAGGAACTTTCTTTTCTGTCCTCTGTTTTTCAAAGGGTAAAGTCAAAAACAGAAAAACCAAAAATACAATAAATGAGGGAAGGTATGAAGATCCACAAATCTGGAAAAAATGGGAATCGGATTTTCCAGAAATGTTGCTCGTGAAATCCGCGATTTTTCCGTCTTCTTTTGCGGTGGTTGAGCCATGGTTCTTCAATCTCTCTTCTTCTCCGGTCAAACTTTGGCCCTTTTTTATGGCGTCTGTCAAAGTTTGTCAATCTGATCGCAGTAGGCACTAAAATGAACGGTGTACAAAAGTTGTAAGCACTTTTGGTGTCCTTTTCCCAATCTGACCGCAGTAGGCCCCTGTCAACAATTCTTTTTTAAGTTCTATGATCGCTTCCTCATATAACAAATCCAACGTTACACTTTGGCTGATGCAAATGCTGATGACGACACACATTTCTAATCAGTGCTTCTCCTGTGTTTAAAGATTATGTACAAGGTGTTTGCACGCCAAACCGCAAAGATGCCTTGATGAAGCACTTATAGAACACTTTAATGTCGTTACAACCCTCGAATAACTAGTATTCCTCCTGGCCGATGGGGAAGGCATTCAACAAGCTTGTCAAACATTGGAAGATCTAAACCAATGCACTGTAGTAGAAACTCTGATAAGACCTGACACAATTTAATCGTACCCCCATCAGGCCCCCCATCACATTGTCCGACATGGATCTGGAGATATGCATTCAGTGAATGGCACGAGGAGACTTAGTTGAGTTTCACTTATGCTAGTCGTGATTATGTGCCTCAAATGCTCTGCAACCTGGTGAAAATTGTGTTGGTTTCTGGACATGGAGGATGTTCGTGTGGTCCTCTGGTATGGGTTTGGTGAAAGGCGAAATGACTAGGAGGTTGTTAGGATAATATAGTTCGGTAATGGTTATGGAAGAAGCTTGGGTGAACCAGAACTCAAGGTTTAATCGCTGAATTCAGATTTGATGACATTGTCGAGGATTTAAAGCATTCCATCATGCGCTTTTAAGTAATGTGCATAGTTGATACTCCACATTTTTGGTCCATGGCACTAGAAGCATTTCAATCCCTTTCGATAACCACTGGTTTGCGCATGAACGTCCCCCACCAATGCAAGAACCAGCTTCTTCTTTTTTGTCCAGTTATAGGGGATTCACTTGAGCATCTTGACCTGATGATGTTAGTTAGTAAAAAGTAGATCATACTCCAACTTCTCTCTGTTCAAATTTCTAGAATCAATGGCTGGTGATTCCACAACCATGCATGCATTAGGGATAATGAGCTTCCTTGAGTGTTCTGTGAAAATATATACCACTCTTTGTTCTTGCTCATGTGAACTGTTGATTTCAATCCGAGATCAGCATAGTTTGTGCTTTTCCTTCGCTCGTGTTTCGATTCTTCCCGATGGTTCATTGTGTTCTTCGAAATTGGCAAGATTTCATGGCTGCACGAGAAATGTTGAGCTTCTGTTTGCTACGTTCTATCCTGACCTAATTTTGCTAGAGCTAGAACATCTCGAAAGCTTCAGTAGTTGGGAGCATATGATTTTGTCAACGTGGTGAAGAGCCTAGTTTCTCCATGGGGATAAACGACTTGCTGCTTTTGCAAGGGTAGGCAGCTGAAAAGGAAGAGGGGATGTCTGAAATAGCAAGAAAATGTCTCCTACATTCCTCATTGATGCTCTAACAAGCAACTCATCCTTATTCTTTGGTCCAGAAGCATTCCTCGTAATAAATCTAATTTTAGCCTAACTGCGGTCCACAAGAATGGTCTAACATGTACCTCATCTATGCTCTGGCATGGATGCATGTTGCAGGTTTCCAATACAATGGAGAGATTCTTTCCCCTACAGATCGACAATTCAAATCGAGACAATCGTCCTCTCTATCGTTACTCTTTACTTATGCTGTAAACATATGGATACCTCGAAAATCTACTCTCTCGCACCATAATTTCTTCTCTCAAATCTCACTATGTGAACATACGTTTGTCTCTGTAAAAGTACCTTGCAGCCCGACCATTTATTCAACGCATTTAGTTGAAACTTCCTTCGGTCATTAAGTTCATGCTCTGTTCAGCGGCTATGCAGATAAGAAGAGAAACTGGGAGTCATTGCCGGAGAAAAGTCGAACTTATTATAGAGGAAATCAAATATTGCAAACTAATAATGCGACTTATTTTGTGACTGTTCCTGCAAGCATGAAAGCCTTGTAGGTGACAGTTCTGACCAGATTAGGCCCTCCCCAAGCCCTCTCAAGCTCTTTAACAACTTCTTCGGACAACAAATCCACCCCTTGTTCCTTGGCTAAGTTAATTGGTGATGATGATTTTAAAAACTTCAAGTACCCTTCGAACAGGAGCTCCTTCCGGATTTCGAGTTGCATTGGTTCTCCCTCGTGGCCTAAGCCCACGCTCTCAAAAGGAAAGGGAAGATTTCTATACCCGTCGATTACGTGCTTGGCATCCGAGTGCCAAAACTGCATGGTAGCTTCCCAGAGGCGCTTACTTGCAGTGTTGAATTCGGGATTAACGACTATGTCGTTATATGCCCAAACGGCTAGTATACCTCCCGGCTTACGTAGAAGGCGCTTGGCCAGCTTGTAAAACTTTGGAAGGTCAAACCAGTGCACTGCGGTAGCAACGGTGATCAGATCGACACGATTTTCGGCACCCATCAAGGCCACAATTTCATCCTCTGACATGGATTGTGGAGTGTGCACGTAGCGAACTCGAGGATGTGGCATCGCGAAACTTAGTTGAGCTTCACTAACGTCGGTTGCTATGACTTGCTCGTAATGCTCTGCAACCTGGTAGAATCATGTCACCGACATATTTTGGTTAATCAAGCAGGAAAGATTTTAATTGATGAGCGAAGGATTGCATTTTCCCATTGGAGAATCACATTGCGGTCATAATTTGATCCGGCAAATTCTTGTCAAAAAATTGCGTAGGGAGAGAGAGACTAACACCAAGAGCAGCTTGACCATTGCCGGTGCCGACATCCCAAGCCAGAGAGTGATGAGTGGTGCGGGCGGCGAGCATCGAGTACCACTCACTTGGATAAGTCGGCCGGGCTTGTAGGTAGGTCTCCGCCTGCTTGTCAAATAGACCCGCCATGCCTACACAACTTCTGATATTCTGGTCACGCTGCTTTTGAGGATCTTTGGTGTTGGTGTTAAGTACGAGACAGAGAGACGTCTGTGTTTTCTCAAGCTAGTAAATTAACTCAAAGGTGGCTTTGAATTTTTCGTTTTCTGTTACAAGTTCATTGGATTGATTGATTCAGTGCCCATATGCGTAAGCAATGACGCAACTCATTACTTTAAGCGCTGGTGTTGAACTATGACTAAGAAAAGTCTTGAACTCTTTGCTTTCCGGTCAAACTAGCAGGTTTTTCTTGCCATGCACGCATACCAGTATGTCTGCAGGAGTAAAATCCATAGCACCATGTTAACTACTGAAGTAAATTTACAGAGATGGAGTAGAGTTACACTAATACGGCAGGAGAGTGTGCAATACTCAAAACTTCTGTCATATTAAATTAGGTTAATAGTTTAGCGAAAGATGACAAAACCTCCCTTGTTGGGAGTGCACCCGTTGTTTCGCACATTTCTATTTAAGACATAATGATGGTTGCTATTAGGTAAGAATATGCGGAAGAAAGAATTGTGTAGTTTCTGTATATTTCATAATGAAGAATATATGAAATATTTATAAACTTTACAAGATTGACTATTAGTATTGCAATATCAATTACTATCAATTAGAATCAATCAAGTATATGCACAACGAATGTAGATATATGCACGACCCTCATATTATGAAGAAATCAAGATAGATATAGAAAATCTCTTAAATATTAATCTAAGGGATCATATGGTTAAATGTGAGTTACGTGGAAATGTTGTGCCTCGTGTCATGCGAGACAAACATGTAAAAACACCAGTGTTTTGTGAGCGTCACATCATCTACTAACGTGATGTAAATTTATGCACTTTAAACAAATTACAAATTGACACATATAATTGATCTGCAACCGGATTAAAAAAAATAAAAATCTATCCAAACCACATGCCTTTTGCACCTCCACCGATTGTCACCATTGACAAAGTGGCCAACGTCGCATCCAGGCCGACACTGTTATGTATCCAAGTTGAGCCACCCCTCCGTCGTCCTTGCTTGTCCATGGCTGGTGCCTCCAAATTTGGCCCGGCTGAAGCTCTGGATTTGGAAGTTCGCCGACCTTCGTGTCCACCCCCGCACGCCACGACTGGAGGGGTGGACACGGGAGTCGGCGAGCTTCCACATCAGGAACCGCCGTCGCTCGCAGCAGTGGCTCCAAATCTGGAAGTTCGATTAGATTTGGAGCTCTAACCATGGCCGCCGGCGACAACTCAATAGCTTTTGCAGCTGGGTGCGACGGCCATGGCGGGGCGGTGGGCTCGAGGATGGAGGTCGGTGGAGATAGCAAACCTAAATTATCGATGGATGGCCGGGCGAAGCGATGGAAGAGGTAGAGAGAGAAAAATCACAATTTCTATTTTTTTTTATATAATCCAAGCCAATAATTGACGCACGCGTGGTAAATCGGTCCAATTCATTTCAGAAAATAAAAAAAACGAAATGAAAATCACGTGAATTGTACGGGCTAACGGAAAAAATAACGGAGAATCAATGAGTACAACAAAATGAAGGTTCAAGAGGAAGCTTTACGTAATTTCCTCTACATAGGATCCATCTGTTTCGCGAAAAATATTTTCCAAAAAACCACTCTCCTCGTATTTTTCGGCGTTTGGTTTGTTTAGAAGAATGAGTTAACGGAAAATATTTTCCCGGTCAACTGAAAATGTTTTCTTACCAAAGCTTAAATTCAGGAAAATGATTTTTCCTTTAAAAGAAATGGAAAACGTTTTCCAAAGTATGACTAACTATTGGCACTCGGATCCGAAACTTTATGTTTGGGCACGAAAATCCTAACGTTGGTTCTCGAGTCTCAACATTCAGGACTAAGTCACGGCAGATAGGCTCAAGACCTCGGTGTCCAGGGCTCGGGCCCAGGTCTATCGAGGCTGAGCCCGAACCCCTGGTGCCCGTACCCAATGCTCCGACACCTGAACTCGATTCCTTAAAGGCCGTGCTCAAGTCCCTAATGCTCAAGCTCTAGTCCTAACCCTCAAGCCCGAGTCCACAAGGGGGTGCGCAGGTTCATAATGCTCGGACTCGGGTCCTTAGTTAATGACGTTTGTTCTTATAAAAATATTTTATTTAAAATATGGAGTTACCTAGTTCGGGAAGGGCACAGACTCGACGAGGTCAGCGAGGGATGGGGATGAGCTCGTCCCTTCACCGCGGCTATGGCTTGGTTTTGTAGCCACTTGGTCTTGGCACGGGCTGATTACAAGGCCGAATGATCTTCGGTCGAGGCAATCGGTGGTCGGCAACTATGGCAGGAGGCGTTAGCGAAGAAGCGACTGGAAGGGGGATGAAATTTGCCGGCGATCCTCCTGCAAAGTGAAACCGGAGCGCTTTCCTCTTCATAGAAATGGATTGAATGATTCAACGCCAATTTGTCCAAGCAATGACGCAATTCATGACTTTGAGCGCTGGAGTAGAACATGAGTAAGAAAGGTCTCATCGCTCCATGTGGAATTAAAACTCTGCTTTCATGTCAAGCAAGAAGATTTTCTTGCCATGTACGAATACCAATATGCCGTAAGGACCGTGTTAATCTGTGAAATAAAACTCATAAATAAAATTGAAGAGAGTTACAGTAATACAGTAAGAGAGAGTTTAAGCTTCTCTTTCTCATATTAAACTTGATGAATATCGTAGCGAGAGAGAAAATTTTCCTTAGCAGCAAAAGCTGAAATGCCCAGCAAGGAGCCAGACTTGAAGTACAGTGGAATGGGGAAAAAGCCCACGATGAGAGTGGCAAGCAGAGCGATAATTACTATAAAAATAATTAAATGTTAAATCGCACATTAATCTATAATGATTGTGGATTAGGATTAGGAGAAAGAGAGATTATGTTGGATCAACCTCAAGAAAAAAGCAGAACATTTCTCTATGAAATTATAAAATCTGCTAGAAACTTGGCTAATTTAGTAGTTTAATACCACGAGGGTGATTGGAAATGTAGGAACTGGGACTGCAATAACATTAAAAAAAAATTAAACAGTTCAAGTATTCGGATCGAACAAAGCGAAATTTCAAGAGCATAGATTAATGGAAGACGAGGAAACACCTAGAATGATCAGATGCTCAAAAACTATCAAGAAACCTCTTGAAAAGCGTACAGATCAGCTAGGGGGGAGGGACGGAGAGTTTAGGAACCCATAGATGATCTCTATGCTTTCGAAAGAGCCAAAACTGCAGAAGAACACCAACTCGAGAGTGTTGAGAGCGTTTCTTGGATCGAAGAACTTGCGTGATTCCTTTTGGAGTTTTGTTTGTTGCTATTGTAACGAAACATTTCAGCCGGCAATAACGGTGCTCGTGCGATCACTAACCTGAAAGTCCGAAATTACCTCTTAGTTTTATTCACATTTTATTTCACTTAGCTTGAATATATTTCATCTAATTATATGCCACATTTTGCTCTTAAAAGGTCTTCTTTACTGTATGTTCCGTTACATTATGTAAACTACAGAAACTGCGTGCCATATGCATCTTACAATAGAGTCTAAACAGTTCTTGTTTTTGCAGGTTAATGTAGTTAGTAGCAAGGTCTGATCTTTTTTCTATTTTCGCTTAAGAGAACATGTTGAATATTTGGGGAGACAACACCAAATTCAAGTTTTTGACTTTATATTAGTATAGATAGATAAATAGATAATGTTTAGCAAAGCAATTTGACAATAAAATTTAACATAAACAAACATAGGGTAAAATTGTCACAGCTGTACCAGTTTGGGGTTTTTCGTGGTAAAAAATTAGTTTGGGATAAAATTGTCACAGGTGTACCAGTTTATGGTTTTTCGTGTTATTAATCCAGAACAATAACATCAAGTTGCTAAAGAGTGAAGAACAATACTCTCACTCATAAATCACATTTTTATCGCCGAATTAATTGGGAAAATTGTTCAAACAATCTTATATCTGTTGTACGGCGATCAATTCAATCATAAATCATTCAATTATACCAATTTAATACTAAATTTTTTGACGATTTACCAATGTAGTCTTTCTGGCTAATTTTGATCATAAATAATTGATGTAAACGATTTTTAAAAAAATTTCTGAATTTATTTTTATTTTTTTCCCTTTAAGGGCCACCCTTGGCCAAATTGGGTGAGGGTGAGGGCTAGCGAGGGCTTGAGCGAGGGCAACGACCTTTGCCAACGGCCGGTGAGGGCTTACACGCCCTCACCCAAAAAGAAAAGAAAAGATATAAAAAATGTATAAAAAAATCAGAAATTTTTCTTTAAAAATTACAATAATTGTTAACGTCAGCATCGGTCGTGCCACATAAGACGACCGGCATTCATATCAGTGATATCCAGCCAAAATTGGCCAGAATAACCATATTGGCAAATTGTAAAAAAATTTAAGACTAAATTGATGCAATTAAAAAGTTTATGACCGAATTGACATCCATACAATAGGTTTGGGATTTATATGGTAATTTTCTCGAATTCACCCGGTTCACTCTTGAGAGCTAACCATGAGCCCATCTGCAAAGCTTCCCCACGATGTTGTCGTCGAAATCCTGAAGCAATTGCCAGTGAAATCGCTATTGACGTTCATGTGCATGTGCCGATCATGGCTTTCCATGATTTACGACCATCATTTCGTGGCCCTGCACTCGGATCGATCCTCTTCCGACGCCGCCAATTGGTACATTGGTTACATGAAAGATTTCTTGCGATTTAAGGTGAAATTTTGCTCCTTTTTCCAATTCAAGCATGCTACGAACTCAGTGATCCGGAAAGGAAATAAACTGCATATGATTACCCAGTTGTCTACCATTCTTATCTTTAGGAAACTTGATAATGACCTGTCAATTTTGAAAATGAATATCTGATGTGGAATCAATAATGTCATTCATAATAGCTAACAGAATCACACAATCATCAATGACAAGTTTTTTTTTTTTTGTGGTCAGAATGAACTGCTTTTCATTGATATCTAGTAGAACCATAACCCCTTTTGGGAGTCTCAAAACAGAGCAAGTCTCTAAGGGCCTGCGGAGGACAAATCAGCCAGTCGTCAGTGAGTGTTTTGTTCCGGTGGGACTTTGCTACCCAGTCCGCAACACTATTTGAGTTTCTATTACAGTATTGCAGGTCTAACTGTGAAAATAATGTCAGCAGTTCACGTGCTTCAGCAATAATTGCCCTCTGTTCCCACGGCAGAGCTTGTGTAGTCTTCAATGCGTTGACCAGATTTAGACAATCTGACTGGACAGTCAGTCTTTCATCCGCGCATGAGGAGAGAAATATGAGGGTTTCCACCATTGCTAGGCATTCGGTTTGCTAGGCTGAGGAGGTAGAGACGTCCTTTGCAAATCCGTCGACCAGAGTTCCGTCTGCGTCGCGGCAGACACAGGCGATTGAACCTTCGAGTGATCCAGGTTGGTGAGCTGCATCTATATTGATTTTCATTTCGCCCCTTTTTGGGGGTATCCAGGCTTCGTCGTCTTCGCGATCCGGATGGGCTTTCGTTGGCGAGATTATTCCACTGCAAAACTCCGAGCAAATTATGTCCTCTTTCAACCAGCCTTAAGTCCGGGAGGTGTCTTTTGAAGACGAAGCTGTTTCTAGCTTTCCAGATTTCCCGAGAGGACTACCGAGATTAATTCTACACCAGGTGAGCTGTTGCTTCTGTGGATATGGTATCTCAGCCATTCATCTATTCTTGTTATTTGGAATTCAGAGTTCTGGATGTTCAGTACCGGGGCCTTCCAGACTTCTCACGTCCAATTACAGAGCAAAAGTAGGTGTTACGGGGTCTCCACATGCACTCGGCAGATTGGGCATAGAGGGTCAGGTACCATTTTCCTTTTGTATAGATTCTCCTTAGTCGGGAGAGCATTTTGACAAACAGACCAGATGAAGTGTCTGATTTTGTGGGGGGTTTTTAATTTCCAGATTCTGTTCCAAAGTTGAGTTGGGGGTTGATGAGAGGAAGAGGCGGTTTGAGCTTCTGTTGTTTCTTTTGTGCGTAGGGTGTTGTATCCGCTCTTTACCGTGTACTCTCCTTCCCGCGTACCTGACCAGATCAGTTTATCTTCATTAGTCTGTGGTCTAATTGGTATGGTAAGGATCTCGCGCACCCCCTGTTCTTGACATAGTCTTCGCAGGGTCTGTTCTTTCCAGGTGTTTGCCTCTTGATCCACCAGTTCATACACCATAGTTGGGTCTCCTTCATTAGCCTGTCCCCCTAAAATTCCTCTTTTGAGCCATTTATCCTCCCTGATGTTGATTTGTTGACCATTACCAACTAACCACATGACCGAGTCTTCAATAGCCTTTCTCCCTATAAGTATGCTCTGCCATCCCCAAGATGGTCTGGATCCCTTTTCTGCCTTCCAGAAGCTCTTAGTTGGGTAATACAAGCCTTTAAGGACCTAACTAGACAGAGAAGTCTGGTTTTTAGCTAGTAGCCAAGCCTATTTACCGAGCATGGCTTTGTTGAAAGCTATTAGGTCCCTAAATCCTAGGCCTCCCCTGTCCTTCCTCTGTTTTAGCACTGCGGCCTTCCTCCAATGTACTCCTTTTGTTGTTGATTGGTTCTTCCACCAGAAGGCTGTAATTTTTTGCTCAATGGCCCGACCAACTGAGAGTGGGATCTTGAAGATTGACATGGCATATTGAGGTAAAGCTTGGACAACAGTTTTTAACATGATTTCTTTCCCTGCTTTAGACATCGTGTTCTCTTTCCACCCTTCGAGTTTCATAGTGACCCTTGCCAGAATCCAAGCAAACATTTGCTTTTTGGATGAACCCCAATCCGATGGGATACCCAGGTACTTCCCTGTTTTGTCTATCTCCGGGACTCTTAGCTCTCTAGCCATGTTCCTTCTTAAATCTCTAGGGCTGTCTTTGCTGAAAAATACCCCTGACTTGTTCAGGTTCACTGCTTGTCCTGAAGCATAGCAATACTGGTGGATTATGCCAGCAAGGTTCTGGCATTCTTGTACCGTCCCTTCTAGAAAGAAAATTGAATCATCTGCAAATAGTAAATGAGACAGTACAGGACAATGTCTGTTCAATTTGATCCCCTTTATAGTGCCATCTTGGACAGCCTTTTTCATCAGTATTGATAGGAAGTTTGCAACGAGTATGAATAGGTATGGGGATAATGGGTCCCCCTGCCTTATTCCTCTGGTCGGCTGGAAGTAATTCAATGTTTCCCCATTCAGCTTGATGCTCAGTGAGGTCGTGGTAACACATTGCATAATCAGGTTTATCCATCTTTCATCGAATCCCATCTTTGACATACAGGCCTTCAGAAAGTCCCATTCGATCCGATCGTATGCCTTTTGCATGTCTAGTTTTAAGACCGCCTGGAATTTTTTCTTTCTCCTTCGAACTCTTAGCTGGTGCAAAACTTCCTGGACTACAAAGATGTTATCTTGGATTTGCCGTCCACCTACAAAGGCACTCTGTTCAACTTCAATTAACTCCAGGAGCCATGGTTTCAGCCTATTGGCTAGCACTTTTGAGATGATCTTATAGGCGACATTGCACAAGCTTATAGGCCTAAACTCTTCCAGCTTCTCTGGGTTTTTGACTTTTGGAACCAAGGATATAATCGTTCTATTTAGTAGGGGGTTCAACAGTCCGATTTGGAAGAAGTTTCTGACCTCTGAAAATACTTCCTGTTTTATGTCTTCCCAGTAGTGTTGAAAGAACTGGCCATTCATTCCATCCGGACCCGGGGCCTTGGAGGATCCAATTTGGAAGGTTGCTTGTTTAACCTCTTCCATCGTTACTTCTTCAAGCAGCTTCAGGTTAGTTTCATTTTTCACCCTACAAGAACAGTGCTGAAGAATTGGGTCAAAATGTCGATGTCCCACTGAGGTATATAGTTCTTTAAAGAAATTTTCAGTCATCCTCTTTAGTTGTTCTTTATCTCGGGTCCAGTTCCCTGCGGCATCTTTCAACATCAATGACAAGTTTAGTACATTCAAATTGGGTGAAAATGTTAGTCCTAGATATCTTTCCAAATTGGCACGAACATTACTTGACAACCTGCCTATCTAGATTTGGGGAACTTAATCAATCCAAATGGCAGAAGTTAATATTAATACGACAATATGGCGGTTGCAATTGACAGGGTTCCATTTGCCGTCGGGGGGACGCAGGGCTAATGTAGATCGCTGCCTTGGCTCTCGTGGTTGAAGATTATGCGAATCACCGCTGTGATCATTTCGGAAATGGCCAACGGAGGTCGCTGTGTGGCCTTTGAGGGGGCCTCAAACGGGATCGAGATACAGATGGATGAATAGATTAGCTTTCCCAAAATTCTAACATCAGTACATTCTCTTATGACATTAAGATATCTTTCCCTTTAAACACCAATATATAACAAGTCCAGGGTTACAAAACTGAACTAGATGGACAACACAAAGAGTCAGTATGATGAGCAACCTTTAATCCTCTTCCTGGAGATCAGGACATTCAGATCTCATAAAATTACTCTTAATCTGATCAGAATCAACCTCGGTTTCAAATCTTTCTGCCTTAATTCACCTTGCTCCATTGACGATGTGCCCGAAGAAGAACCTCCCTCATGACGTAGTCCTCGAAATTCTTAAGAGATTGCCAGTGAAGCCTCTCGTGAGATTCAAATGCGTCTCCAAATCATGGCGTTGCATGATCGAAGATCCGGACTTCATGGCCATGCACTTGAAGCAGTCCGTTCTCGGTGTCGCGAACTGGTATGTTCTTCTCATGGATTGGTACTTTTCTCTGATCAGATGAGCTCCTTGTATCCAGATAAGTCTCTTACTGCAGCTTCTCAGTCAGAAATTGAAATTTCATTCATTAACCCTATGGGAAATTATAGTGTTGTGGGTTCGTGCAATGGTTTGATATGTATTGCTGATGCTAATGCTAAAGATCGCAGTCACACAATATTTTTTTGGAATTTATTCACAGAAAGTACAAGGTGGTTCTGAGTTCGCCTCCGGATTTTGTCGACATGTACTCTGCTCGTATGGTTCTAGGATTTGGATACAACGACAGGACTAATGACTGCAAGGTTGTTAGAATTACTTAATTTCCTGATAAGTATGGAGGATACTTGGGCAGATTAGAACCTGAAGTTGATGTTTATAGCCTCAGTACTGATATGTGGTGAACGGTCGAATTCGATGTTGGATGCGAGCTGAGTGACCGCTTGATGGTTTGTTTCAATGGAAATTTGCGTTGGATCTCAACCGATGTTGATGAAGACCATTGCTGGTGTTATGGATCGATAATCACATTTGGCATAGTGGATGAGATCTTCGACAAAATGTCACTGCCAAAGAGCTGTTTTGTTGGAGTCACGTACAACCGTGCTTATCTGGCAGTGTCGAACAGCTCGCTGGTATTGCTAATTAGTCAAGTGGATCCGAGAAATCAATCGAATGATATGTGTTACATTTGGGTTATGACGGAATATGGCGTACCTAAGTCCTGGACTAAGCTGCACACCTTAGATCTTGATTGAGTGTCTAGATTTCACGGCTTCACAAGGAGAGGCGAGCTTCTTATGGAGACATGGCAACATGAGTTGATTTCGTGGAATCCGAGTGTGGGGATGACCTGATTCCTTTGGACAATGGGGGCATTTGATTTAGTGACTCTGGTGGAGAGTCTGGCTTCCCCAAAAAGACAGAATTAGTTGTTGTGTTGCTATTGTAGGCAAGAGTACGAGATGTCTCAGTCTAACCCAATTACTCTTATTAAAGGCGCGAATGACAACATTTCTCTTTTCCTGCCCTATTTCTGGCTAGAAATTAAAAAATCAATTTCTCTTTCCCGAACCAGTTTCTGAGCAAAAGGTAGCGTTTGATAACGACACAAAATTTTTGTTCCCGGAATAGAAATTCGTTTGATAATGATGCAAAATTTCTATTCCTGCCGGCAGGTGAGCGGTGGCGGCGGACGGCCGGCGAGCGACGGTGGTGACGGGCAACGACAAATGGCCGGCGAGCGGCGGTGGCGACGGGCGACAGCGGATGGCTGGCAAGTGGTGGTGGCCATGGGCGACGGTAGATGGCCAGCTTGCGGCGGGCGAGCGGCGATGGAGGGCAGTGAGCGGTAGCGGACGGCCAGCGAAAGGCGGCGAAAGCGGACGGCCAGCCGGCGAAAGGCGATGGACGGCCGGCGAGCGGCGGTGGCGACGGGTGACAATGGATGGCCGGCGAGCGGCGGGCGATGGTGTGGGGTCGGCGAGCGGCGGCGGATGGCCAACTAGCGGCAGGTGGCGGTAGACGGCTGGCGAAAGACGACGGCGGTGGACGGCCGGCTGGCGAGCAGCGGCGGGTGGCGGCGATGGGCGGCAAGGGAGAGCAATAAAATAAAGTTGTTATTTCTGTTTCTGTTCCAAAAATAGAAAAGTAAAAAATTTTAAGTTCTCATTTCTGTTCTAAATATATTTATGGGCCAAAATTTGTCTCAGAAATAAAAAAATGAAATTATTTTACCAAACGGATTTATGTTCCAAACATGTTCTCGGGAACAAAAAAAATAGAAAAATAGGAAAATAGAATGATTATTGTTCGCGTCTTAACTTGTGATTTCTGCTTCGAGAAAGGTCATACTCAAAATTGTTTGAGTCTGTACTCTTAAGAATGTGCTCGGAATGCCAGCATAACAAGGTGCATCGATAATGCTGACAACCGTAGCATTTTCTTTGAATGTTTATGTAATACTTAAAGGGAAAAAACCACCAAAAACCCCAAACTTTGCCATCTGTGACACATTTACCCCGAACTTTTTTTTGTGACACCAAAAACCCCGAACTTTGCTTTTTGTGACACATTTACCCCAATGTATTTAGTCCATGGGCATTTTCGTCTTTTCTGCTTTTTCTTTTTTTTTTCTTTTTTTTTTCCTTTCCGGCGAGGGGGGGCCTCGCCGGCGTCGGCCTCGCCGGATCCGGCGAGGGGGGCCCTCGCCGGCGTCGAGCGAGGGCGGCCCTCGCCGGCGTCGGGCGAGGTTCGCCCTCGCCCGGGTGAGCAAGGGCGGCCCTCGCCCGACTCGGGCGAGGTCGACCCTCGCCGGCGCCGGCGAGGGTCGACCTCGCCGAGTCGGGCGAGGGCGGCCCTCGCTCGCCCAGGCGAGGCGACCCTCGCCGGCGTCGGGCGAGGTTCGCCTCGCCTTGGCGAGCGAGGGCGGCCCTCGCCCGACTCGGCGAGGTCGACCCTCGCCGGCGTCGGGCGAGGGTCGACCTCGCCCGAGTCGGGCGAGGCCTCCCGCGCCGGATCTGGCGAGGGCCGCCCTCGCTCGACGCCGGCGAGGGTCGACCTCGCGGATCGGGCGAGGGCCGCCCTCGCTCGCCCGAGCGAGGGCGGACCTCGCCCGACGCCGGCGAGGTCGACCCTCGCCGACGCCGGCGAGGGTCGACCTCGCTGTGTCGGGCGAGGGACGCCCTCGCTCGCCCAGGCGAGGGCGAACCTCGCCCGACGCCGGCGAGGGCCGCCCTCGCCGGATCTGGCTGGTGATTCCACAACCATGCATGCATTAGGGATAATGAGCTTCCTTGAGTGTTCTGTGAAAATATATACCACTCTTTGTTCTTGCTCATGTGAACTGTTGATTTCAATCCGAGATCAGCATAGTTTGTGCTTTTCCTTCGCTCGTGTTTCGATTCTTCCTGATGGTTCATTGTGTTCTTCGAAATTGGCAAGATTTCATGGCTGCACGAGAAATGTTGAGCTTCTGTTTGCTACGTTCTATCCTGACCTAATTTTGCTAGAGCTAGAACATCTCGAAAGCTTCAGTAGTTGGGAGCATATGATTTTGTCAACGTGGTGAAGAGCCTAGTTTCTCCATAGGGATAAACGACTTGCTGCTTTTGCAAGGGTAGGCAGCTGAAAAGGAAGAGGGGATGTCTGAAATAGCAAGAAAATGTCTCCTACATTCCTCATTGATGCTCTAACAAGCAACTCATCCTTATTCTTTGGTCCAGAAGCATTCCTCGTAATAAATCTAATTTTAGCCTAACTGCGGTCCACAAGAATGGTCTAACATGTACCTCATCTATGCTCTGGCATGGATGCATGTTGCAGGTTTCCAATACAATGGAGAGATTCTTTCCCCTACAGATCGACAATTCAAATCGAGACAATCGTCCTCTCTATCGTTACTCTTTACTTATGCTGTAAACATATGGATACCTCGAAAATCTACTCTCTCGCACCATAATTTCTTCTCTCAAATCTCACTATGTGAACATACGTTTGTCTCTGTAAAAGTACCTTGCAGCCCGACCATTTATTCAACGTATTTAGTTGAAACTTCCTTCGGTCATTAAGTTCATGCTCTGTTCAGCGGCTATGCAGATAAGAAGAGAAACTGGGAGTCATTGCCGGAGAAAAGTCGAACTTATTATAGAGGAAATCAAATATTGCAAACTAATAATGCGACTTATTTTGTGACTGTTCCTGCAAGCATGAAAGCCTTGTAGGTGACAGTTCTGACCAGATTAGGCCCTCCCCAAGCCCTCTCAAGCTCTTTAACAACTTCTTCGGACAACAAATCCACCCCTTGTTCCTTGGCTAAGTTAATTGGTGATGATGATTTTAAAAACTTCAAGTACCCTTCGAACAGGAGCTCCTTCCGGATTTCGAGTTGCATTGGTTCTCCCTCGTGGCCTAAGCCCACGCTCTCAAAAGGAAAGGGAAGATTTCTATACCCGTCAATTACGTGCTTGGCATCCGAGTGCCAAAACTGCATGGTAGCTTCCCAGAGGCGCTTACTTACAGTGTTGAATTCGGGATTAACGACTATGTCGTTATATGCCCAAACGGCTAGTATACCTCCCGGCTTACGTAGAAGGCGCTTGGCCAGCTTGTAAAACTTTGGAAGGTCAAACCAGTGCACTGCGGTAGCAACGGTGATCAGATCGACACGATTTTCGGCACCCATCAAGGCCACAATTTCATCCTCTGACATGGATTGTGGAGTGTGCACGTAGCGAACTCGAGGATGTGGCATCGCGAAACTTAGTTGAGCTTCACTAACGTCGGTTGCTATGACTTGCTCGTAATGCTCTGCAACCTGGTAGGATCATGTCACCGACATATTTTGGTTAATCAAGCAGGAAAGATTTTAATTGATGAGCGAAGGATTGCATTTTCCCATTGGAGAATCACATTGCGGTCATAATTTGATCCGGCAAATTCTTGTCAAAAAATTGCGTAGGGAGAGAGAGACTAACACCAAGAGCAGCTTGACCATTGCCGGTGCCAGCATCCCAAGCCAGAGAGTGATGAGTGGTGCGGGCGGCGAGCATCGAGTACCACTCACTTGGATAAGTCGGCCGGGCTTGTAGGTAGGTCTCCGCCTGCTTGTCAAATAGACCCGCCATGCCTACACAACTTCTGATATTCTGGTCACGCTGCTTTTGAGGATCTCTGGTGTTGGTGTTAAGTACGAGACAGAGAGACGTCTGTGTTTTCTCAAGCTAGTAAATTAACTCAAAGGTGGCTTTGAATTTTTCGTTTTCTGTTACAAGTTCATTGGATTGATTGATTCAGTGCCCATATGCGTAAGCAATGACGCAACTCATTACTTTAAGCGCTGGTGTTGAACTATGACTAAGAAAAGTCTTGAACTCTTTGCTTTCCGGTCAAACTAGCAGGTTTTTCTTGCCATGCACGCATACCAGTATGTCTGCAGGAGTAAAATCCATAGCACCATGTTAACTACTGAAGTAAATTTACAGAGATGGAGTAGAGTTACACTAATACAGCAGGAGAGTGTGCAATACTCAAAACTTCTGTCATATTAAACTAGGTTAATAGTTTAGCGAAAGATGACAAAACCTCCCTTGTTGGGAGTGCACCCGTTGTTTCGCACATTTCTATTTAAGACATAATGATGGTTGCTATTAGGTAAGAATATGCGGAAGAAAGAATTGTGTAGTTTCTGTATATTTCATAATGAAGAATATATGAAATATTTATAAACTCTACAATATTGATTATTAGTATTGCAATATCAATTACTATCAATTAGATTCAATTAAGTATATGCACAATGAATGTAGATATATGCACGACCCTCGTATTATGAAGAAATCAAGATAGATATAGAAAATCTCTTAAATATTAATCTAAGAGATCATATGGTTAAATGTGAGTTACGTGGAAATGTTGTGCCCCATGTCATGCGAGACAAGCATGTAATGTGAGACAAACATGTAAAAACATCAATGTCTTGTGAGCGTCACATCATCTACTAACGTGATGTAAATTTATGCACTTTAAATAAATTACAAATTGACACATATAATTGATCTGCAACCGGATTAAAAAAAATAAAAATCTATCCAAACCACATACCTTTTGCGCCTCCACCGATTGTCACCATTGACAAAGTGGCCAACGTCGCATCCAGGCCGACACTGTTATGTATCCAAGTTGAGCCACCCCTCCGTCGTCCTTGCTTGTCCATGGCTGGTGCCTCCAAATTTGGCCCGGCTGAAGCTCTGGATTTGGAAGTTCGCCGACCTTCGTGTCCACCCCCGCACGCCACGACTGGAGGGGTGGACACGGGAGTCGGCGAGCTTCCACATCAGGAACCGCCGTCGCTCGCAGCAGTGGCTCCAAATCTGGAAGTTCGATTAGATTTGGAGCTCTAACCATGGCCGCCGGCGACAACTCAATAGCTTTTGCAGCTGGGTGCGACGGCCATGGCGGGGCGGTGGGCTCGAGGATGGAGGTCGGTGGAGACAGCAAACCTAAATTATCGATGGATGGCCGGGCGAAGCGATGGAAGAGGTAGAGAGAGAAAAATCACAATTTCTATTTTTTTTATATTAGCCAAGTCAATAATTGGCGCACGCCTGGTAAATCGGTCCAACTCATTTCAGAAAATGGAAAAAACGAAATGAAAATCACGTGAATTGTACGGGCTAACGGAAAAAATAACGGAGAATCAATGAGTACAACAAAATGAAGGTTCAAGAGGAAGCTTTACGTAATTTCCTCTGCATAGGATCCATCTGTTTCGCGAAAAATATTTTCCAAAAAACCACTCTCCTCGTATTTTTCGGCGTTTGGTTTGTTTAGAAGAATGAGTTAACGGAAAACATTTTCCCGGTCAACTGAAAATGTTTTCTTACCAAAGCTTAAATTCAGGAAAATGATTTCCCCTTTAAAAGAAATGGAAAACGTTTTCCAAAGTATGACTAACTATCGGCACTCGGATCCGAAACTCTATGCTTGGGCACGAAAATCCTAACGTTGGTTCTCGAGTCCCAACATTCACGGCAGATAGGCTCAAGACCTCCGTATCCAGGGCTCGGGCCCGGGTCTATCGAGGCTGAGCCCGAACCCCTTGTGCCCGTACCCGATGCTCCGACACCTGAACTCGATTCCTTAAAGGCCGTGCTCAAGTCCCTAATGCTCAAGCTCTAGTCCTAACCCTCTAGCCCGAGTCCACAAGGGGGTGCGCAGGTTCATAGTGCTCGGACTCGGGTCCTTAGTTAATGACGTTTGTTCTTATAAAAATATTTTATTTAAAATATGGAGTTACCTAGTTCGGGAAGGGCACAGACTCGACGAGGTCAGCGAGGGATGGGGATGAGCTCGTCCCTTCACCGCGGCTATGGCTTGGTTTTGTAGCCACTTGGTCTTGGCACGGGCTGATTACAAGGCCGAATGATCTTCGGTCGAGGCAATCGGTGGTCGGCAACTATGGCAGGAGGCGTTAGCGAAGAAGCGACTGGAAGGGGGATGAAATTTGCCGGCGATCCTTATCACTTTTATGAGACCACAGGAGAAGACAGGGGAACCTCAACTGCATAGATGGGGTAATCATGAGGGCAAAGCCGGCGCCGAAAGTGGCACAGGAGCGACCGGCTAAGAAAACAGAATAGGTGGGGGCAAAACCCATAAGAAGGGGCCCAACAAAATAAATGGCCCCCGCCATCATAATCATCTTGCGGCAGCCAAATTGGTTAGAGATCCATATGGCCGTCGCCAATCCGAGGAACGTGAACACGCTCAGGTATTCGTCAGAACGTTTTGGATAATTTCACGTCCATCTTTATATATGCCGCCACCCTGCTCATTGCTGCTTGAATTGTCAAAATTAAAAAAAAATAATAAGAAAAGTTTTATTTATCATTACAATGTTTATAACTATATACAAGAAATTGAAAGAATAAAAATATAAAAAATTCAGTGAAGTTGCTTTGTCTTTAACTTTCTTTCTCAACTTCAAAGCTATTTTGCAAATAACTACACCAAAATCACTAAATCAACGGTATTTAAGCAAGTATACCTTGAGCCAAAAGTCATTTTCCCAAAACTCAAGCTCAAGCAAACGTAGACTTAGTGGATCCACACTTCATGAATGACTACAGGGGTGACTCATCACATGCTTCACAATATCGAATGCACATTCTATATCGTGCACTTTTTTTAGAATGACTTATGGTTAAAGGACTCCTTAAGGTGTATATGCACAAAGCAAATACCGTCAATTTAGTGATTTTGGTGTAGTTATTTGCTAAATACCTTTGAAGTTAAAAAAGAAACGAAAGACAAATTATGGTGTAGTTATTTCTCCCTCGGGTACTCCCTCATTTTCGTTTCTTTTTTTCCTAATTTTGTAACATCCTTATCACTTTTTTGAGCCCACGAGAGAAGATAGGGAAAACCTCAGCTGCATAGATGGGGGCAATCATAAGGGCGAAAGCCGGTGCTGAAGGTGGCATAGGAGCGGCCGGCCAAGAAAACAGAATAGGTGGGGGAAAAACCCATAAAAAGGGACCCAACGAAATACATGGCCTCCGCCATCATAATCGTCTTGTGGTGGCCAAACTGGTCAGAGATCCATATCGCCGTCACAAATCCGAGGAATGTGAACACACTTGGGTAGAACATCAAGATGCACTTCGGATAATTTCATGTCCATCTTTATATATGCCGTCGCCTCGCTCATCGCTGCTTAGATTGTCAAAATTTAAAAAAAATAATAAGAAGAAAAATCTTATTTATCATTGCAATGTTTATAACTATATACAAGAAATTAAAAGAATAAAAATAAAAAAATTCCGTGAAGTTTCTTTGTCTTTAACTTTCTTTTTCAACTTCAAAGCTATTTTGAAAATAACTATACCAAAATCACTAAATCAACGGTATTTAAAAAAATACACCTTGAGCCAAAAGTCATTTCCCAGAAACTCAAGCTTAAGCAAATGTAGACTTAATGGGTCCAAACTTCATAAATGACTACAGAGTGACTCTTCACATGCTTCACAATATCGAATGCAAATTATGTGCACGTACCATGCACTTTTTCTAGAAAGATTTATGGTTAAATGACTTCTCAGGGTGTAGTAAGAAGGGAAGAATGCTATCAAACACCGTGCTAACCCACCAGCAAAAAAGGTAGGACTTGCCACAGGATTTGCACATTTTATGAGCCATGTAGAAAAGAGTACCTATGTGGGGAAGAAAGCAGTAGGGTCGCTTCAGTGCCAGACGACAGACTTCCTCTCACTATTAAAAGAGAGAAAAAAGAAAGTGTAAGATCAATTCTATAAGATCTTCCAACGGAACCAATGAATTTACAAAATAAATGCCAATGATAATTAGAGGTATCTATACATTCCAGCAATCCGAAGGTAGAGAATCTGATACTAAATAGTCAGCATGCTAAATTAGTCATGATTTCATGTACTTTACATGAATGGGAGGACCAGAGGTTCTCTAAGGAATGAGAGAATGGTGGTTGCCATCACTCGGTTCAACATCCGCTTCTTCTTCTATTTTGTTGACTCGAGCATGAGCCAACACATCTTTAGCTTCGTTGTCCTCTCCTTCAAATAGACGTAATAGGAATAGCGGGTAACTGTCATCTTCGCCAAATGGCTCTGACATCGACAGACACACCAGCTGCTCAGACATCTCTGTGTCATAGCACGACTCACGTGCACACGAGAACGAATCCATCATTGCTCGGATCAAAATGCTGATAAACAACACATACTAGTACAATCATGTTTAGTTTCAATTCCTGTATACAATCCCAATAAGCATGATTAAGGTCAATTCCCACCGGAGATTCGTGAAAGGACGCCAACGCCCAACATTACGAAAAAAAGAGATTTAAGAAAATGATAATTATTAAGAGTGATCGGTTCCCGGTTCCTAGGTCGGGTTCCTAATCCGATCTGGTCCGACCTAGGAACCGGGAACCGGACTGGGAGGACCGGTTCCCAATTTCTGGGACCGGGGATCAGACCGGTTCCACTTCACATACAATGCATATTAAGAAGAATTCGTAGTAACTGCTTTTTTTTTCACATTAAGACCTTCCTCTGTTGGGGGCATTTCATCTTCAACCTCTTGTCGGACGGGTTTTATGGGACTTTTTGTTACCAAGTGGAGTCCCTTTGTCGCTAATTCTAGCAAATTAAAGCTCAAAGTGGAACAGTGCCAACCTAATCAATGCTACCGTGAGATAAAAAAAAAAGCTACTTAAACTTACTTGATAATGCGTGCGTGGAATACAATCATCATTTGCGCGTGATGCCATGTAATTACCAAAAACATTAGTTTCTTTTATTTTAAAGACTTAGCTAAAAGATTTGATAGGCTTTTTAACTAAGAAAAGAAGATTCCTTCCCACTTCAATTTCATTCAAAACCAAATTTTACAGTTGTTTTTTTAGAAATTCAAATTCATAAATGACACATAGCCATGTAATTATTCTTTTAAGGGCAACTTAAACTATCATGAGCTATGTGGCACATGCGACAGCGTTTTTGCCTAGCTAAACATTATCCACTTATGACACATAGCAACGTAATTATTTGAACCATGTTGATTCATCACAAATTCACAATTGCTTGGAATATAATCATCATTAACGTGCGATTCTTAGTAACACCAAAAATATTATTTTCCACTCTTTTTTTTAAAAAAAGAGCTCAATTTGTACTAAAACTCGTTAAAAGAAGATTCTTGTCCACTTAATTCAAAATCAATTTTTTACAATTTTTAAAGAAAATCGAAATTAATAAATGCCACGTAGCCATGTAATTTTTTTTTTTCATAGCAACTTACGTAACGACTTTTTCACTTGTGAGCAACTAAACTATTTGACGAGAAAGCCCGTCTTATATCGATCAATATTTGACCCATGATCGCGAGTTGATATATTTCGCCAATCTTGATTAGGTGAATATCGAATCGATTAGCAAGATCCATAAGGGAATAAGAAATTATGAGGATAGAAATTGTGGAAGTGCGAAGTACAAGGGACCTTTCTAAAATAAATTTACAAAATATAGGTATGAAATTGTAATAAATGAAAGTTAAAAGAATTGATTTAAATTGTAAAACAGGACCACAATTCTCTGAGCCCAAAAACACTCCCTGGTCTGACTCGACTGTCCGGATCCGACCGAACTCAGATTGTACCCGAATTTCCCATTTCTTTTCTGATTTTTTATTTATTTATTTTTCTTTCTTTCTTCTTCTTTCCTTTTCTTTTGGTCTTCATCCCCCCAACGTATCCCTCACGACGTCCTCTCCCGAGAGCCTCCTCCTTCACTCCTTCACCAAAACTTTGACATTTTCTCAGGCACCAAGCTCAGGTCACCGCCGAACCACTCCTCGTTGGTCGACTGCACCGAATCACCGCCGGCCGCTAGTTGACCGACGGTTTCTACATCGCCGGACCAACTCCGGCGAGGGATCGTCAAAACTCCTCAATGATGTATACGAAAACTCAATCATTTCTAGCATATAAAACACACACCTGCACATTGAGAAGCAGGTTGACCGGAACAACCTTTAACCGCGGGCAACTCCGGCAAGTGGCATGGATCTCTAACGAAAAGGC